TTATCACCTTAGCCCAGAAGGGCTCATCACCACGCACCTGGATTATTGCAATAACTACCCAGCAGGCTTCCTGATTTAAGTTGGCTGCCTCCTCCCCTCTACGCTGTATCAGCTTCTGAGGAATCTTTCTTAAATACTGTAGCTGTCAAGTGCTCATGGAACATTCTCCAGGATAGATCATATCTTGAGTAAAAATCAAGCCCTAGTAAATTTAAGAAAATTGAAATCGTATCAAGTATCTTTTCCAACCACAACGCTATGAGACTAGATATCAATTACAGGAAAAAATCTGTAAAAAATACGAACACATGGAGGCTAAACAATACACTGCTAAGTAACCAAGAGATCACTGAAGAAATCAAAGAGGAAATCAAAAAATACCTAGAAACAAATGGCAATGAAAACACAATGACCCAAAACCTATGGGATGCAGCAAAAGCAGTTCTAAGAGGGAAGTTTATAGCAATACAACCCTACCTCAAGAAACATGAAACAACTCAAATAAACAACCTAACCTTACACCTAAAGCAATTAGAGACAGAAGAACAAAAAACCCCCAAAGTTAGCAGAAGGAAAGAAATCATAAAGATCGGATCAGAAATAAATGAAAAGGAAATGAAGGAAACGACAGCCAAGATCAATAAAATTAAAACCTGGTTCTTTGAGAAGATAAACAAAATGGATAAACCATTAGCTAGATTCATCAAGAAAAAAAGGGAGAAGACTCAAATCAATAGAATTAGAAATGAAAAAGGAGAAGTAACAAATCACACTGCAGAAATACAAAGGATCATGAGAGATTACTACAAGCAACTCTATACAAATAAAATGGACAACCTGGAAGAAATGGACAAATTCTTAGAAAAGCACAACCTTCTGAGACTGAACCAGGAAGAAATAGAAAATATAAACAGATCAATCGTAAGCACTGAAATTGAGACTGTGATAAAAATCTTCTAACAAACAAAAGCCCAGGACCAGATGGCTTCACAGGCGAATTCTACCAAACATTTAGAGAAGAGCTAACACCTATCCTTCTCAAACTCTTCCAAAATATAGCAGAGGGAGGAACACTCCCAAACTCATTCTACAAGGCAACCATCACCCTAATACTAAAACCAGACAAAGATGTCACAAAAAAAGAAAACTACAAGCCAACATCACTGATGAACATAGATGCAAAAATCCTCAACAAAATACTAGCAAACAGAATCCAACTGCATATTAAAAGGATCATATACCATTATCAAGTGGGGTTTATCCCAGGAATGCAAGGATTCTTCAATATAGGCAAATCAATCAATGTGATACACCACATTAACAAATTGAAGGAGAAAAACCATATGATCATCTCAGTAGATGCAGAAAAAGCTTTTGACAAAATTCAACACCCATTTATGATAAAAACTCTCCAGAAAGTAGGCATAGAGGGAACTTACCTCAACATAATAAAGGCCACATATGACAAACCCACAGCCAACATTGTTCTCAGTGGTGAAAAACTGAAAACATTTCCACTAAGATCAGGAACAAGACAAGGTTGCCCACTCGCACCACTATTATGCAACGTAGTTTTGGAAGTTTTAGCCACAGCAATCAGAGAAGAAAAACACATAAAAGGAATCCAAACCAGAAAAGGAAGAAGTAAAACTGTCACTGTTTGCAGATGACATGATACTATACATACAGAATCCTAAAGATGCTACCAGAAAACTACTAGAGCTAATCAGTGAATTTGGTAAAGTAGCAGGATACAAAATTAATGCACAGAAATCTCTTGCATTCCTATTCACTAATGATGAAAAATCTGAAAGAGAAATTAAGGAAACACTCCCATTTACCACTGCAACAAAAAGAATAAAATACCTAGGAATAAACCTACCTAAAGACACAAAAGACCTGTATGCAGAAAACTATAAGACACTGATGAAAGAAATTAAAGATGATACAAACAGATGGAGAGATATACCATGTTCTTGGATTGGAAGAATCAACATTGTGAAAATGACTCTACTTCCCAAAGCAATCTATAGATTCAATGCAATCCCTATCAAACTACCACTGGCATTTTTCACAGAACTAGAACAAAAAATTTCACAATTTGTATGGAAACACAAAAGACCCTGAATAGCCAAAGCAATCTTGAGAAAGAAAAACGGAGCTGGAGGAATCAGGCTCCCTGACTTCAGACTATATTACAAAGCTACAGTAATCATGACAGTACGGTACTGGCACAAAAACAGAAATACAGATCAGTGGAACAGGGTAGAAAGCCCAGAGATAACCCACACACATATGGTCACCTTATCTTTGATAAAGGAGGCAAGAGTATACAATGGAGAAAAGACAGCCTCTTCAATAAGTGGTGCTGGGAAAACTGGACAGCTACATGTAAAAGAATGAAATTAGAACACTCCCTAACACTGTACACAAAAATAAACTCAAAATGGATTAGAGACCTAAATGTAAGGCCAGACACTATAAAGCTCTTAGAGGAAAACACAGGCAGAACACTCTGTGACATAAATCACAGCAAGATCCTTTTTGACCTGCCTCCTAGAGAAATGGAAAGAAAAACAAAATTAAACAAATGGGACCTAATGAAACTTCAAAGCTTTTGCACAGCAAAGGAAACCATCAACAAGACGAAAAGACAACCCTCAGAATGGGAGAAAGTATTTGCAAACGAAGCAACTGACAAAGGATTAATCCAAAATATACAAGCAGCTCACGCAGCTCAATATCAAAAAAACAAACAACCCAAACCAAAAATGGGCAGAAGACCTAAATAGACATTTCTCCAAAGAACATATACAGATTGCCAACAAACACATGAAAGGATGCTCAACATCACTGATCATTAGAGAAATGCAAATCAAAACTACCATGAGGTATCACCTCACACCAGTCAGAATGGCCATCATCAAAACATCTACAAACAATAAATGCTAGAGAGGGTGTGGAGAAAAGGGAACCCTCTGGCACTGTTGGTGGGAATGTAAACTGATACAGCCACTATGGAGAACAGTATGGAGGTTCCTTAAAAAACTAAAAATAGAACTACCATATGACCCAGCAATCCCACTACTGGGCATATACCCTAAGAAAATCATAATTCAAAGAGAGTCATGTACCACAATGTTCATTGCAGCTCTATTTACAATAGCCAGGACACGAAAGCAACCTAAGTGCCCAATGATAGATGAATGGCTAAAGAAAATGTGGCACATATGTACAGTGGAATATGAGCCATAAAAAGAAACGAAATTGAGTTATTTGTAGTGAGGTGGATGGACCTAAAGTCTGTCATACAGAGTGAAGTAAGTCAGAAAGAGAAAAACAAATACCATATGCTAACACATATATATGGAATCTAAAAAAAAAAAAAAGGTTCTGAAGAACCTAGGGGCAGGACAGGAATAAAGACACAGATGTAGAGAATGGACTTGAGGACACGGGGAGGGGGAAGGGTAAGCTGGGACGAAGTGAGAGAGTGGCAATGGACATATATACACTACCAAATGTAAAACAGATAGCTAGTGGAAAGCAGCAACATAGCACAGGGAGATCAGCTCAGGGCTTTGTGACCACCTAGAGGAGTGGGATAGGGAGGGTGGGAGGGAGACACAAGAGGGAGGAGATATGGGGATATATGATATATATAGCTGATTCACTTCATTACACAGCAGAAACTAACACACCATTGTAAAGCAATTATACTCCAATAAAGATGTTTAAAAAAAAAAAAACTGTAGCTGTCCCATGTAACTTCTTTGCTCAAAAACCTGTAATGCTTCACTACAGATTACTGAAGAGGTAGAGGTACTAAAGGTATTAAATATTAGGGGGTCAGATAGGGAATGTAAATGAGTGGAGTAGTCCACATGAAGATTAAATGGGTAGAAATACTTTTCACTTTCCACAAAGAATCATACTCATCCCATTTTTACTTTCCTACTTTTATTAGATGTTTTACTATAAGGCAACAGTGAAGGAATGATGACAAATGGTGACACTTGACTTTAGTGTGCAGGAGACAACAGAATATGTACAAATTACAGTAAATTAAGAACCCAGGCCATACTGATGCCCTCCCCCTACCAAGTCTAGCCAAGTTTTGCCATGTAAGAATAAGGTCCCAGTGTTGCCAGAATTCTTGATTTTTCAAGAAAAGCCCCAAGTCTGGATTTCTATGTGAAATCATCCAGCTTTAAAATTCTGGCTCAGATTTAAAACAATGACAAGAACAGCAACAAAAACCACTGTGTGGTCCAAACAAAACATATCTCTGGCCTGTGGACTGCCAGATTGAGACCTCTAGTTTGGAGCATTAAGTCCCTATTTGCCTGCCTTGTCTTTTGGTATTTTAACTTCCCTGTATTAACAACAGTCCCCATACGTAGGCAGCATTTTATACTCTGATATGCTTTAGTGTCCGTTTGATTCTCTCAACTGTGAGAGGTAGAAAAGATATAAGGAAGCAGGCACAGACAGACGAAGTGATTTGTCCAACATCATATGGTTGTCTCTAAGCCCAGGTCTGCTGACTCTGAGACCAGCATAAACCTTTGGCCACTTAACTCTCTCCCTGTCCCTCTTATGTGTGCTTTTGCTTCAGTCATGCCCTCATCTAGAATGACTGTCTTCTTCCCTTCTGCCAATCTCATCATCTTTCAAGACCCAGCTTAAGCTCTAGTGTCTATATAAAACCTTCCACAACTAGGTTAAGTGGCCCAGTTTCTTTTTTCTGAGTTTTAATTGGTGTTATTGTCAATAACTTACAAACTGGTGCGCATCAAGTCTTGAACCAAATTATTTCACATCATTTCAGATTAACTCATACCCCCAGTTACATTCTAAGCTCTTTGATGATGGGGACATGTCATTCTTCTTTTCTATTCCACACAGTTTTTATGCTGGGACATAAAAATGACTGTTTAATGTTTGCTGTCTTAGACAGTCTTTTGAGGAAGAAAGTTATAATAATACCTCTAACTTACCAGCCTGATGTTGTCTTCTGGGCGGAGTAATATGAACATTGCTTGGAGATGCTGTTGAAGGTCACCTGGTGAAATTTACAAAACAAAGGATAATTATTCTCCATTGTAATGTTAACAGAGAGGATTCCTTCTACCCTAATAACTTGTGTAAAAGAAAGTTCTGGTTCACTGAGGGACTCTAATTAGACACAGAAATTGAGTGAGTGTCTTCATATGAATGGTAGACTGGATCTCTACAGATTCACTTTTAAGTCTACAGGACATTAAAATTTGCTTCATGTTTGTCCTATGGAAGCTGCACTTGAAACCAGTCAGTTTTGTACCATGATTGATGTTGATGAGAGCGATGGTGAAATGTGTTGGGCAGAGAAAGCACTGGCTGTGTTTTCAGGCCCACTGAAGGTGGAATCAAGGGAATCTTGAAATTGGGATGCATGGTATACAGTGTTAGAATTATCCCTAACTTTTAAAAAGCTAACCATTTTGCCATTCCTATCTCTGTAATTGTGATATTCAGTCGCACTTAATCTAAGAAGAATTTGATTCCCTAGAATAATGTCAACAGTTAAAAATGATGTCCACCAGATCATCCAAGATGAAAATAAATAAGGAAACACAAGCTTTAAATGATACATTAAACAGGATGGACTTAATTGATATTTATAGGACACTCCATCCAAAAACAACAGAATACACATTTTTCTCAAGTGCTCATGGAACATTCTCCAGGATAGATCATATCTTGGGTCACAAATCAAGCCTTGGTAAATTTAAGAAAATTGAAATTATATCAAGTATCTTTTCCGACCACAACGCCATGAGATTAGATATCAATTATAGGAAAAGAGCAGTAAAAAATACAAACACATGGAGGCTAAACAATACACTACTTAGTAACGAAGTGATCACTGAAGAAATCAAAGAGGAAATTAAAAAATACCTAGAAACAAATGACAATGGAGATACAACGACCCAAAACCTATGGGATGCAGCAAAAGCAGTTCTAAGAGGGAAGTTTATAGCAATACAAGCCCACCTTAAGAAGCAGGAAACATCTCGAATAAACAACCTAACCTTGCACCTCAAGCAATTAGAGAAAGAAGAACAAAAAAACCCCAGAGTTAGCAGAAGGAAAGAAATCATAAAAATCAGATCAGAAATAAATGAAAAAGAAATGAAGGAAACAATAGCAAAGATCAATAAAACTAAAAGCTGGTTCTTTGAGAAGATAAACAAAATAGATAAACCATTAGCCAGACTCATCAAGAAAATAAGGGAGAAGACTCAAATCAATAGAATCAGAAATGAAAAAGGAGAAGTAACAACTGACACTGCAGAAATACAAAAAATCATGAGGGATTACTACAAGCAACTCTATGCCAATAAAATGGACAATCTGGAAGAAATGGACAAATTCTTAGAAATGCACAAACTGCCAAGACTGAATCAGGAAGAAATAGAAAATATGAACAGACCAATCACAAACACTGAAATTGAAACTGTGATTAAAAATCTTCCAACAAACAAAAGCCCAGGACCAGATGGCTTCACAGGCGAATTCTATCAAACATTTAGAGAAGAGCTAACACCTATTCTTCTCAAACTCTTCCAAAATATAGCAGAGGGAGGAACACTCCCAAACTCATTCTACGAGGCCACCATCACCTTGATACCAAAACCAGACAAGGATGTCACAAAGAAAGAAAACTACAGGCCAATATCACTGATGAACATAGATGCAAAAATCCTCAACAAAATACTAGCAAACAGAATCCAACAGCACATTAAAAGGATCATACACCATGATCAAGTGGGGTTTATTCCAGGAATGCAAGGATTCTTCAATATACGCAAATCTATCAATGTGATTAACCATATTAACAAATTGAAGGAGAAAAACCATATGATCATCTCAATAGATGCAGAGAAAGCTTTTGACAAAATTCAACACCCATTTATGATAAAAACCCTGCAGAAAGTAGGTGTAGAGGGAACTTTCCTCAATATAATAAAGGCCGTATATGACAAGCCCACAGCCAACATCATCCTCAATGGCGAAAAACTGAAAGCATTTCCACTAAGGTCAGGAACAAGACAAGGTTGCCCACTCTCACCACTCTTATTCAACATAGTTTTGGAAGTTTTAGCCACAGCAATCAGAGAAGAAAAGGAAATAAAAGGAATCCAAATCGGAAAAGAAGAAGTAAAGCTGTCACTGTTTGCAGATGACATGATACTATACATAGAGAATCCTAAAGATGCTACCAGAAAACTACTAGAGCTAATCAATGAATTTGGTAAAGTAGCAGGATACAAAATTAATGCACAGAAATCTCTGGCATTCCTATATACTAACGATGAAAAATCTGAAAGTGAAATCAAGAAAACACTCCCATTTACCATTGCAACAAAAAGAATAAAATATCTAGGAATAAACCTACCTAAGGAGACAAAAGACCTGTATGCAGAAAATTATAAGACACTGATGAAAGAAATTAAAGATGATACAAACAGATGGAGAGATATACCATGTTCTTGGATTGGAAGAATCAACATTGTGAAAATGACTCTACTCCCCAAAGCAATCTATAGATTCAATGCAATCCCTATCAAACTACCACTGGCATTTTTCACAGAACTAGAACAAAAAATTTCACAATTTGTATGGAAACACAAAAGACCCCGAATAGCCAAAGCAATCTTGAGAACAAAAAATGGAGCTGGAGGAATCAGGCTGCCTGACTTCAGACTATACTACAAAGCTACAGTAATCAAGACAGTATGGTACTGGCACAAAAACAGAAAGATAGATCAATGGAATAGGATAGAAAGCCCAGAGATAAACCCATGCACATATGGTCACCTTATCTTTGATAAAGGTGGCAGGAATATACAGTGGAGAAAGGACAGCCCCTTCAATAAGTGGTGCTGGGAAAACTGGACAGGTACATGTAAAAGTATGAGATTAGATCACTCCCTAACACCATACACAAAAATAAGCTCAAAATGGATTAAAGACCTAAATGTAAGGCCAGAAACTATCAAACTCTTAGAGGAAAACATAGGCAGAACACTCTATGACATAAATCACAGCAAGATCCTTCTTGACCCATCTCCTAGAGTAATGGAGATAAAAACAAAAATAAACAAATGGGACCTAATGAAACTTCAAAGCTTTTGCACAGCAAAGGAAACCATAAACAAGACCAAAAGACAGCCCTCAGAATGGGAGAAAATATTTGCAAATGAATCAACTGACAAAGGATTAATCTCTAAAATTTACAGGCAGCTCATGCAGCTCAATAACAAAAAAATAAACAACCCAATCCAAAAATGGGCAGAAGACCTAAATAGACATTTCTCCAAAGAAGATATACAGACTGCCAACAAACACATGAAAGAATGCTCAACATCATTAATCATTAGAGAAATGCAAATCAAAACTACAATGAGATATCATCTCACACCAGTCAGAATGGCCATCATCAAAAAATCTAGAAACAATAAATGCTGGAGAGGGTGTGGAGAAAAGGGAACACTCTTGCACTGCTGGTGGGAATGTGAATTGGTTCAGCCACTATGGAGAACAGTATGGAGGTTCCTTAAAAAACTACAAATAGAACTACCATATGACCCAGCAATCCCACTACTAGGTATATACCCTGAGGAAACCAGAATTCAGAAAGAGTCATGTACCAAAATGTTCATTGCAGCTCTATTTACAATAGCCCGGAGATGGAAACAACCTAAGTGCCCGTCGTCGGATGAATGGATAAAGAAGATGTGGCACATATATACAATGGAATATTACTCAGCCATAAAAAGAAACGAAATTGAGCTATTTGTAATGAGGTGGATAGATCTAGAGTCTGTCATACAGAGTGAAGTAAGTCAGAAAGAGAAGGACAAATACCGTATGCTAACACATATATATGGAATTTAAGAAAAAAAAAATGTTATGAAGAACCTAGGGGTAAAACAGGAATAAAGACAGAGACCTACTGGAGAACAGACTTGAGGATATGGGGAGGGGGAAGGGTGAGGTGTGTTAGGGCGAGAGAGAGACATGGACATATATATACTAACAAACGTAAGGTAGATAGCCAGTGGGAAGCAGCCGCATGGCACAGGGAAACCGGCTCGGTTCTTTGTGGCTGTCTGGAGGGGTGGGATAGGGAGGGTGGGAGGGAGGGAGACAAAGAGGGAAGAGATATGGGAACATATATATATGTATAACTGACTCACTCTGTTATAAAGCAGAAACTAACACACCATTGTAAAGCAATTATACCCCAATAAAGATGTTAAAATAAAAAAAAAAAAAAAATGATGTCCACATCAGTAGCTGATATTAAAAAGATATTAAATACAGCAGATCTCAAGGGATATATATTCTAGTGAACATATTATTAGGTGCTTTAAAATGGCCAATCAGGGACTTCCCTAGTGGCGCAGTGGTTAAGAATCTGCCTGCCGGGCTTCCCTGGTGGCGCAGTGGTTGAGAATCTGCCTGCTAATGCAGGGGACACGGGTTCGAGCCCTGGTCTGGGTAGATCCCACATGCCGTGGAGCAACTGGGCCCGTGAGCCACAACTACTGAGCCTGTGCGTCTGGAGCCTGTGCTCTGCACCAAGAGACGCCCCGATAGTGAGAGGCCTGCACACCGCGATGAAGAGTGGCCCCCGCTTGCCACAACTAAAGAAAGCCCTCGCACAGAAACGAAGACCCAACACAGCCGAAAATTAAAAAAAAAAAAAAAAAGAATCTGCCTGCTAATGCAGGGGACACGGGTTCGAGCCCTGGTCTGGGAAGATCCCACAGGCCGCAGAGCAACTAAGCCCATGTGCCACAACTACTGAAGCCCGCACACCTAGAGCCCGTGCTCCGCAACAAGAGAAGCCACTGCAATGAGAAGCCCTCGAACCGCAACGAAGAGTAGCTCCTGCTCGCCGCCAACTAGAGGAAGCCCACGCGCAGCAACAAGGACCCAACGCAGCCAAAAATAAAATAAATAAATAAATAAATAAATAAATAATAGCCAATCATTATTTCAATCCTCACTTGCTTTTATACATCCTATAAAACTAAGTTGAAATTTCTTTGTATTAAACTATTATAGATTTCCTCAATTTCCCTGTTCTGTACTAGAAAATCGGAAGCTTTGGCTAGTAGGAGATAATTAGATAATGTGCTGTCATAAACGATAACAATCAGAGAACAAAAAAACTTCATTCCTGACCAACCCTTTTTCAAGAGTCTAAAGTGACTAATGTAGCTGCATAATCATGGATGCCACCGTAACCTGTTCTCACATTGGTCTTGGAATCTACATACATAATTTTCATCCACGTAACTTCACAGCTGTTAATGATGAGACGAAATGCTGATATGTGCAAGAAGTAGAGAGAGACAGGAAGAAAAAAAAAGTATGTTGGCAAACAAGTATGTTTGTCCCTTGTGGCTTGTGGGATCTTAGTTCTTTGACTAGGGATTGAACCCAGGGCCCCTGGCAGTGAAAGTGCGGAGTCCTAACCACTGGACCACCAGGGAATTCTCCCCTTTCTTCCTCTTAAAGAATAGTTTTCTTGCCTTTTTCTCCCCCTCATTTTACTGCTGGCTTCTGACCAATTCCATTATTGCAGAATCTTTCAACTTTCAAAATTAAAAAGAAGAGTCATTATATTTGGCCATTCTACTATACGTTAAACCCAGAGACAGAATCTAAGTCTCATGTGCAAGAACCAGTGTGGGTTCACAGTACAAATCCAAGAAAAATGAAAGCATATGTCCACACAAAAAACCTGTACACAAATGTTCATAGCAGCATTATTCATATTAGCCCCCAAATGGAAAAAACTCAAACGTCTATCAACTGATGAATGGATAAATAAAATGTGGTATATCCATACACTGGAATATTATTCAATCATAAAAAGGAATAAAGTACTGTTACATACTATAACATGGGTGAGCCTTTAGAGGGGCCATGTCTCAAGTGAAAGGTGCCTGTCTCAAAAGATTGTTTATATGGTTCCACTGACATGGAACACCCAGAATAGGCAAATCTATAGAGACAGAAAGTAGATTAGTGATTGTTTAGGGCTAGGAGGGAGGGTGGGGGATATAGGGAGTGACTGCTAATGGGTACTGGGTTGCTTTTTGGGGTGATGAAAATGTTCTAAAATTAGACTGCGGTGATGGCTACACAACTCTGTGAATATACTAAAAAAAAAATCACTGTACACTTTAAATGGGTAAACTGGGTGAATAATATGGTATTTATGTCTCAATAAAGCTGTTAAAAATAAAAGAATCAGCTTGGGGAGACAAAGTGTTAGGTATAAACAATGAAGAACGACTACAGTTAACAACTGAGGTAAGCAGCTCAGGCTTTTAAAAAATTAAGTTTCCTTTTGTTCTCTCAGGACAAATAACCTAAAGAAAGAATTTTCAGGATGGAGAACTTCTAGAGGAGAAACATTTCTGGGCAAACAGCAGCCCTAAGACTCCACTCCAAGCACTAGTGGCCCAAATATCTAGCTGGACCTTCCTAGAAGGTCCGACAAAAGTCAGGGAGCCCTGCCCCTACAGTAGGGCTTCCTACGTGAGCTGGGTATGTGGAAGCTCAGGTTCGCTAGTGGTGAAAAGTACTGCCATGAGGTCCTTCACAGAGACTAACAGAGGCAATATACCCGTACCATTAAGATCCTTTTCCTACATTTTGTTTTCATATACTTCACTGCTGGTAGCCAAGTTTTAGACTTCAGTTTGATTTTAAAGACTTTTGGTTGTTTCTCTTTAAAATGTTAGCAGACATTCACTTATAATATCACTTTTTGATTACAAAAAAGTACTTGGATATTTTTAATGAAGCCCAGATAAAATTCTAGCTCGTTCAAGAAATATGCATAAGAAAGTACAATTAGACAGAGTAAGCCCTTGATCTGCTTGCAATTCTGCCATCATCTTTCAGTTACTGCCGGCTCAGCCAAGGGAGCTCCAGCTTATGTGAAGGTCTGGCTCTGTGAGCTGCATTTATACTCACACTGCCTCATCTGTTCTGGTCTGGATCACAAGTAAAGTCCATTCATCTTGTGTTGAATCTGCTTTTCTTTTTGGTATGGAGAAATCTAAGGTCAAGTAGAAACCTGGGTGGCAGCTGAAAAGCCACTGACCCCACTTACTATTACATGCCACAGAGCAATTTGCCTAACATCTTAGTCAGACAAGCTGGATTTAAACCAATATTTTGTCTTCTTTTTACTGTGATAAATATCCACACCAAACAGAAACCCAAAGCTCAGCTGGGTCTACTTCCTCTGTGCATTCAAGTTTTTGTGAGGTTGGGGAGGAGATCCCCCCTTGACTCTGGTGGTTGGCGTTGAAGAGGAAGGTTTTTAGAAAATGTAGTACAAAGCTAATTTTCCAAAGAGTTTTCTCACCTGCCCCTTTTAAAATTTTTCCATGGCTGGAGAGTTTTGGTAGGAGGATAATACTGTCCAATGAGATGGATTATAATTCTGAGCTGCTACATTTGGAACTAGATGAAGGTCCAAACAAGAAGTAGGGCAGCCACTAAAATAGCGAAGATTACCTGCACTGGAGTTAAACTCACTACTGGCTCCATGGGACCCAGTACTTCTGGCTTTCACCTCTGACCTACACACTCAAGGTTTACAGTCTTCTTTGTTCTCTTCTTAGTAATTCCAATTTCTTCCACTCCTGGACATCACACGTCATCAAAATGACGCATTTTGGACAATAAGCAAACACTCTTTGTATAGCACTGATTGAGATTTCTCTAATTGGGGTCCTCAGGACAACTGACTTTTTTCCCCCCCAAAATGACACAAGTTAGGCTTGCTGTTAGGAGAGAGGCATAAGGCTGATTATCTTCCTTTAAACTGTGGATATGCTATACCTGGAGACCTCTTTCTCTAGACCAACTTTCTTCAATTCTTTCTTAACCTCATCACCACAATGCACCTGACTTTAGAGAAGTCTAACATATGGAAATATTAAATGCATACACTACTGTTAGTGGGTGTGATACAGTGATTTATAATAAAATATATATATATTTGGTCTTTGTCCAGTTCCTGGCACAGAGCTGTTAACATCACTGGAATTTCTTTCTTTCCTTCTTTTTTTAACATCTTTATTGGAGTATAATTGCTTTACAGTGGTGATTGGAATTTCTTAAGTGATGTGGAGCAAAGAAGGTGTCTTTTGTTCTATTAGTGACTTGACTCTATGAAAGCACCTAGGGATGGGGGCTGGTTGCCAGGGGAACCAAGTGTGATTAGAGGGTTGGAACTTCCTTATCTGGGCAGGGGAGAGGGGCTGGAAGTTCAATGGATCACCAATAGCCAACAATTGAATTAATCATGCCAGTGTAATGAACCCTCCACAAAAACCCAAAAGGGCAGGGTTCAGAGTGCTTCCAGATTGGTGAACACATGGAGATTTGGGGAGGGCATACACTCAGAGAGGGCACAGAAACTCCATGCCCCTTCCCACATACCTTGCCCTATGCATCTCTTCCATCTGGCTGTTCCTGAGTTACATCCTTTTATAATAAGCCAGTAATCCAATAAGTAAAATGTTTCTCTGAGTTCTGTGAGCAGCTCTAGCAAATTAAACAAACCCAAGGAAGGGGTCATTGGAACTTCCAATCTACAGACAACCCGGACTTGTGACTGGCACCTGAAGATGGGGGTAAGGGGGGCAGCCTTATACAACTGAGCCCTTAACCTGTGGAATCTGACACTATCTCCAGGTAGATAAGTGTCAGAATTGAGGTGAATCGCAGGACACCCAGCTGCTGTCTGAGAATTGCTTGGATGTGTGGGGAAACAAGCCTCATATAGGTACTGGGTGCAGAATATTAGTGGGTTATTCCAAAATCAGAGTATTATACTTATCCCTAAGTGACCATTTATTTGATGATTCCTTGTTTCTATAAAAGTCCTCTGAATTAAATTTCCAGTCTTTTTAGCATGAACACAATCAAGAAGTAGACTCTGGTATTTAAGAACTGGTATTTTAATATGTGATATCATAACTCTTGTTAACACAACAGTGCTACTGAATTTATTTATATTAGTAATATACCATATTAGTCTCCTCATAACATCACTAGAGAGCAGACAGAAAAAAAAAGTCATCTTTGGTTAATTGATTTTGCAGAGTCTGAAGAAACATCTGAACATCTTTTAGCTGATTACTAAAACCTTAATCAAGATGTCACATAAGACTTCATTAGTGTATTTTTGTACCTGATTATTTTTCCAACAAAAATTTATTGTTGAACATCTACTTCGTGTATAAGGTATTCTGCTAAGTGCCAGAAATATGGTCTATGAGAGCGAAAGAAAAGTGATTACAGCATAGTACAATGCTTTCTTTCACTATTACAGAACTGTTGAAGAAATGGCGATGAGGTACTCAGTCTTTTAGAACAAAAGGTAAAGAAACCAAGAAAAGGAATGGCATATGTGGAGCTTTACCTGCATGCTTATTGCGTCTGTGGCTGATTCTTGGTGTGGATGAGCCATTTCCCCGTGGTAGAAAAAGGGCAGCACCTTTGACAGTTAGAAAGCTCTCGCTGATGCTATAAGGAAAAAGTAAAAATTAAATAAATAAATAAATAAACAAGTAATTTAAGGAAGAAAGTCAAAGAGTAAGATGAAGACCGACTTTGGGATTATTTTCTCTTCCCTTTTCTAAAGTTCCAACCTCATGGGATGAAGTAAAAATAAAATCAAAAGAGCTTCTGATAAACAACAAGGTCCTTCCTACTGTATAGCACAGGGAACTATATTCAATATCCTGTAATAAACCATGATGGAAAATAATATGAAAATGAATACGTATGTGTGTGTGTGTGTACACACACACACACACACACACATGTATAACTGAATCACTTTCCTGTACAACAGAAACTAACACATTGTAAATCGACATATACTTCAATTAAAAAAAAGAGAGAGACTCTGGTTACTCACACAGTCTTGTCTACTATAATTTTTCTGAAACAAAACTTACAATATTCTATATACATTACACGGTAGCAGTTAAGAGTGAAGGCTTTGGAAATACAGGGTAAAGGCTCTGGAACCAGACTGCCTGGGTTAGAATCCTAGCTCTACCACTTCCTACTTGAGTGAATTTTAGGGGGCCTAAGTTTCTTTATCTATAAAACAGGGATTAATAAATAAATTGAGGTTGTTGTTGAGGAATCAATAAGAATAAGAAGCTTCTTAGAGAGGTGCCCTTAATAAATATTACTTTAACAACTAACAGAGCTAACAGATAGATCTATGGTTATCAATAACTAATAGATCTATGGTTGTCAATAATGGTGTTTCAACAGCGTTCTAATCAGACGTGAAATACGTTACAATGCTTAGCTACTAATAATAGACCCAAAGTTTGCAATAAAAGACTTATATTTAAAATATACACACATCACACTAAAGTGTTACTCAAAATTTTACTTTCACAAACCTGCATTTCCATATGATTGAAAAGGAGTAGTGCACAGGAAGTATGGTCAACCCATGGAGTTTGCCCTCCATGTTAACATCCTTCATGTGAATGATAGCTCAACAGAGGTGGGGAACTACTGCTCAGCAGAGAGGCTATTCAAAATACAATTACTAGTGGATATCCACAGAAAACAGAAATTGTATCTAAATTATTTCATATCGACAGACTAAGCCTTTCAATGTTATCTACAGAATCTGAAAAGGACAGAACTTCTAAGTCATTAATGGCAAAGTTTAGAAACACATAATGAAGGATTCCAGGATTGCTTGCGAGTACACCATTCAGTGTTAGCTAATGTACTGTAAATTACACTGTGCTGCCTACTCAACATTTCCACTTGGAAAACTAATTGGCATTTCAAATTTACATTGCCAAAACTATTCTCTTGAGTCCCCTGCAAACCTGATCCCTAGCCTCATCCACCCAAGTTGTTTGGTACAAACATATAACAGTCGTCCTTGGTTTCTCTATTTCCAACAATATATATCTAATCCATCAACAAGACCTATGAGATTTACTTTCAAATACATCTTGAATCTGCCCATGTAGCTCCATTACTACTCTGACAATGGTCCAGGGTACCACTGTTTTTCACTTAGACTACCGTTAAAAAGTTTTCTTTTAAGTGTTTTATTACAGAAAATTTCAGACATATACAAAGTAGAGGTAATAATACATGAGCCCCCCACGTTCTCATACATTTCAGCTTCAATTCATGGGCAATTCTGCTTTTTCTATATCTTTACCCCTTTCGCCCTATCCCTGAAGTGAAACTAACCCCAGACATTATATCAGCAAAAATCCTCTTAACTGGTCTGTCTGCAACTATTTCTGTATCACTACTATCCACTTACCAAACAGCAACCAGAGTGCTTTAAAATATACAGATAAATATCATATAATGTCACTTTCCTGCTTAAAACCCACCAACAGCTTCCCTTTTTATGTATAAATTAAACCTGAAATCCTTAGCTGGGACCTCAGGGCCCTGTAACAGCTGATAAGAAGTTATTTCTCTGGTCTTATACCATCTCCCCTTTTGTTTACTATGACCTGGTTGCACTAGCCTTCTTTCTGTTTCTTCTATATTTCAGGCCCCTTCTCAGGGCCTTTGTGCTCTTTGTTTCCTACTTGGGACACTTTTCTCCTGGCCTGTCACTATTTAAGTCACAGCTCCAATATCATCACCTCTCCCCCCATCCCAATCATACTCTATCCTGTTGTCCTGTTTTGTTTCCTTCAGGATATTTATCATAAGCTAAAATTATATTTATTCACTTGTATACTTGATTGTGGTCATCTCCCTATGATAGAATATAAGCTCCATGAAAAATAAGACTTTATTTTGCTCAGCACTGTTGTATCTTCAACACTGGAAATAGTGCCATGCACATATTAAGTGCCTGACAGATATTTGATGGATAAATGAATTCATCCCAGGGGTTTTTTCCCCCCATACTCTTTTATCTGACCCATCCCTGAAACACGAATTGTAATTTAGGACAAGAAAATAGAAATTCTGTAATCTCACAGGTAAAAGTAATGATTACAGAATTCAATATATATGGGCTGTAAAATACAAATGTGTGATGATAAATTAATCGATTAAATGAAATTAAATCAACTCTATAACAGTTGTCAGTCCTTGATTCAATTTTATCGTTTAATCATGTGGCATGAAGCTGATATACCTTTAAGGTAACTTGCCAAACAGACTGGAACATGTCTTCTAAAAACAAACACAAGACTCCATAGAGGCCACTTTACAATTCTGCATGCTGGCTGCCTTTGTTTTGTTTTGTTTTCATCTTTAAATAAAGCATTGCACTCTTGTGGTCTGTTGCACAAGTCTTGTCTCTTGTTCCACTTGTGGTATGCACATGTCACCCTGCTGTGGGTCACTTTGTTTCACTCACATTACAGGAACAACCTAAAACAAAATGTCTGAGTAACAGGATGAGTGGGGTACACCACAGACAGGAAATGACATTCACACTGCTGCCAACACAGCAACTGTCTGTTTTACTAAATGAAAATATTTTAAAAATAAAGGCTAAATAGTCTACCTATCAGCAGGCAAGTTACAGCTATGGGCACTTTGGTTTCCAGTACACAAAGTGGTCTCTACATCCACTAAAGAAGTATATTTGTTGAGAGCTTATTTCAGTCATTCTTTTTGTGAGACAAAAGTAGTTTCTCTTTGACAAACACACCAACTTCCTGGTTTTTAGAATTCTGGAATATTGTTCTTAGATACATTTGTTGCTTATGCTTTAAAGCATATTTCTTAAGTGTCTTCTTTAAAATGTATGTAGTGCTTTCACAAGGGGAGGATTGGGGTGGAGGACAAGGGCCCTTGGTTAACTCAAAGCTACCTGGAAAATTTCCAATTATAAAAGAAAAACCAGGAGTCAAAGTCACAACTGGTATAAGGGAAAAGATGCCGTTCTATTTGAGTCATTTATACAAATCTCAATAAACTTTTCTGATACAACAAAATGCACAGCAGGTCCAGCTGGGCCAGGAGACTGCACTAGTAGGTGCGATCTAGGCCCCCAGAGAGTCATGGCAGATACACTCTAGATGATACGATCAATCCTCTTTATTCTGTGGCCCCAGATTATGACTCCCCAGTTACCACAAAAGTGGCATAAACTGTTGATCACAAGGGGACCAGGAATGAAAGTGTAGCTAATTACAAAAACCCCTTTTCATCACTGAAAAAAAGTCAAAGTTCTATAAACACTATCAAAGATGGGATGGCAACATGGTGGCATGGAAGTGAAAAAATAAAATTCGAAATCACCAGAGTTTAGGAGGATCAATTTCAACTTGAAAGTTAAATGCTTTATTTGCATATGAAGAAAATAATATGTATATTTAATCACATGTACTGCAGTGTAAGGTAAAGGCTTCGTACATCTTGCTAGAATAGTGAGAGACATTTATGTAAATATTCGTCTTTCTGAAGCATCTGGCTAAAGATTCAATCAACACAGAGTTGGTCTCTAATTTAAAATCTAGAAAGGCAGGTGAACACTTTTACATGTTTTCTGAACTGACCAGTTATCTAGAGCCTGGCCCAGGAAGAGGAATGCTCCAGTAAATTCTGTGGAGCCATCTGTACGTGATTACAGATGTCCAAGTTAAACACAAACCTCAAAGGACTTAAGAACCCCCATATTAAGGAAAATACAAGATAAAGAACATTCTCCAAATCTAAAGTTGGAGAGTCATTAGCTGCTTGATGAGAAAATGACAAGGATCATCTTTCTAACACAGTGACAGTGACATTCTCCAGTTTTTTTCAGAATACGTCTGAAGAACATCTACTCTTCTCTTGCAGTAAGATCACTTGCTCAACAAATGGAAAGTCATCCCTAGTTTGATACATGAACTGAGCTAATAACAGCTAACTTGAGTAGATGCCAACTGTATGCCAGGCACTGAGCTAAGCACTTTACATTACTTCATTTAACCTTCACAACAATCCTATGAAGTAGGTACTATTTTTTACCCCCAGTTTACACATAAGAGACTGAGGGGCTCAGAGGTGGTAAATTATCTGCCCAAGATCATACAGCTAGCTAGCAATCCTCTGAGTTAAGGATTCAAACCAAGTTCTGACTTGAAAGCTCATGCTCTGAATCACTCTCTATCATGCTGTTCTAGTTTTATGATATAGTTTATGGAAGATGAAATGCAATGTCTTCCCTACAGAACTTTTCAACAGCACAGAATTTAAAAGTAGATACAGAAGTGGAAGAAAAGGACTGAAATCCATTCAGATCTCAACTCTTATTCCTTTTTTGTTCCCTCTATCAAGGCCATGAACAGAAAGACTTTACTGAGGGGCATGAAGAACATCTGGCTGAGAGATGAATCCAGATGGGCTGGACAGTAGAGAAAAGAACTGGGAATGATAGTAGCATTTTAGTCTCAAAAGTAGAGGAAAGAGTACTCTGTTTTAAATAATTTGGGGAAGCACTCTGTGCCAGTCCCTCCCAATCAAAAGCACTTTGCAAAGCATGAAATTTGTTAACTGGCAGTTTCTTCTCA